ACTCTCTTTGCAAAATAAATAAATGAACATTAAAAAAAAACCCAAAAAACAAAGAGCACAGACTTTGGACTTGGGCCATCCTGAGTTCAAGTCCTGCCCCTGCTTCTTAGAATCCCTCTGACTTTGGGCTGTCTTCTTAGTATCATTGATTGGCAGTTTTCTCTGCAATAACGTAGGGGCAATAGCAAGTCTCTGGGTGGGTCTTTGGAGAAGAAATGAGTTAACAGCTATAAGCCCTTTATCCCAGAGTCCGGTACACACCCGATGCCAGATATATGCTGGCTGTTACAATTTATATCGTTAATCCTTTTGACAGGCTGTCTTCCTTTCTGAATCTATTTCCGTCTTTTTTTTTTTAAGCTTATTTATTTATTTTGAGAGAGAGAGAGAGAGAGAGAGAGAGAGAGCAAGAGCATGCACATGTGCAGGGAAGGGACAGAGAGAGAGAGAGGGAGAGGGAGAGAGAGAATCCCAAGCAGGCTCCGGGCTATCAGCGCAGAGTCCGACGGCGGGGCTCGAACTCACAAACCAGGAGATCGTGACCTGAGCCGAAACCAAGAGTCGGATGCTTAACCACCTGAGCCCCCCAGGCGCCCCGTTTCCACCTTTGTAAATTGATACTAGCCACATGACAGCCGCTCTGTGAACCTGACTTTGCCCCCTCTCTGCTCGGGAGGGGGCCGGTGTCATGTTCTGGGGTGTTCCCTAATGGGATGTGGTCGGGTCCTAAGCAGGATTCTTACAGCATCTGCATCACCACATGGCAAGCTGGATTATTGTGTTTGCACATTCCCAGAGTCTGTGTTGGAGGGACCGAGGCAGGGGACTGTCCCAGCCTGGTCCTTACGGTGTCTGCCCCTTACCGGGGGCACCGCAAAGCCAAAGAGGGGTCTCCACTGTGCAGCCTCAGCTTTGTAGGTCCCAGGAAAGGGAAGGGAAGGGGGGAGTGGGGTCTGTGCCGACGGACCCCCTTCAGGAGATGGGGCTTGGAGCCCCAGTAGGCAGTCACTGGCAGGCAATTTTGTCACTGCCAGGACTCAGCACCTGCTGCTCGGGGCTCCCAGCCCGGGTCTGATGACGTCACCTTCGTCCCTCCAGTTGAGTGGGGGGGGTGGCCGGCCTCTGGCTTCCCTTTTGTCTCCTGGGAGCTTCTTGGCCCCTCCCCCCCCACCTCCCCCCACCCCCCCCACCCCCCCCCCCCCCGCCGGCAGGTCCCTGGGGTTTGTGGCTGGACCGAGTGGATTCAGCTCGCCTACTTGGATCCTGTCCAACACAGACAGGGTCACTGGCTGCCCCAGGGCGTTGTGTCGGATGCCCCATCGCGCAGGGGATGGGACCCGGTTTTGGAGGCCGTGTGGTTGGTGAGACAAGCACGGGCTATGGAATCTGACAGAACGAGGTTCACACATCAGTGCTGAAGCCACGGGCCCATGTCCCGGGCTGCTTGCTCCATGGCAGTGCTCTCCTCTGTGAGTGGACGGGGTGGTGGCAGCCCGCCCTCCGAGCACCTGTCTGCCTGGGTAAGCGCCCGAGGGGTCTCCACAGCATTCCAAGAAGAAGGGGCTGGTGGAGAGGAGGAGGCTGGGCTGAGATCCCCCCCCACCCCCAATCAGCCGCAGTGCACGGCACGGGCACGAGCGGAAGCTCCCCGCTCTATCTGCTGCCTTCCGTGTTCCCAACCCCTCAGGTCCAGGTGCCACGGGGACCGGAGCCCAAGTGCCCAGCACGGAGTGGGCCATTTATCATGGCAGCCGGGTTAATGCCCTTGCCTTTCCTGGATGGTCTTTTTTTTTTTTTTTTTAAGGCTATATCACATCTCCAGCACCCTTTGCCCACTGCACGTTTATTTCTTTTTAACTTTTGTTTTGAACGTTTATTCATTTTTGAGAGACAGACAGAGCATGAGCAGGGGACGGACAGAGAGAGAGAGGGAGACCCAGAATCGAAAGCACGTTCAAGGCCCTGAGCTGTCAGCACAGAGCCTGACGCGGGGCTTGAACCCACGAACCGCGAGATCATGACCTGAGCCGAAGTCGGACGCTTAACCCACTGAGCCACCCAGGTGCCCCTTTAAACATTTTTTTGAGTTTATTTATTTTGAGAGAGAGAGCGAGTGGGGGAGGGTCAGAGAGAGAGAGAGAGAGAGAGAGAGAGAGCGCGCGCGCACGAGAGGGAGAGGGAATCCCAAGCAGGCTGTCAGCTCAAAGCCCGACGTGGGGCTCGATCCCACAAACCCTGACATCATGACTTGAGCTGAAGTCGGAGGCTTAGCCGGCTGAGCCACCCACCGCCCCTCGCTGCGCCCTGATTGAGGACTTTTCCGCCCCCTCCCTTTGTCCTCAGCCTCCCAGCGAGGCTCTGGTTAAGCTCTCCGCTTTTGATCTTGGTCAAGCCTGCGAATCCTGCCGGGCTCCTGTCACCGTGTTCTTCTCACCGACCTGTGGCTGTGGACCCAGCTCCCTCTCAGCACCTGATCTGTCTTGATCCGGGCTCTTCCTCTGCCCTGGCCCCGCTTGTCTGTTGTCAAGGCAAAAATGTCACCTCTCTTCTGGCTGTCATTTGTGATAACCACACAGGATGCTGGAAACCAAGGCAGTTTATTTACTTTCTCTCTCTTTCTCTCTCTGCCGGCAGACCCAGCACCAGCCCGAACTGCAAAGGCTATGTCCTTTTGCCTGGCTCTCTCGCTGATTCCTTAGGGACAGCCCAGAGACACACGGGGATGCCCAGTCTCTGGCCACCTGCAGCCACACCGCAGGGCTGCTTCTTGGACTTGGAAATGGGAACAACATTTTTTTTTTTTTTTTTTAACCCTGAGCACATTTTCTTCCTTTTCTTCTCCCTCCTTCCCTGCTTCCTTCCTTCCTTCCTTCCTTCCTTCCTTCCTTCCTTCCTTCCTTCCCTTTTTCTTTCTTTCCTTCCTTCCTCTCTCTTTCTGTCTCCAAAATGTTTGGAAAATACGTAGTCCCATTTTTTTTTTTTTTAATTTTTAAGTTTATTTTTTTTGAGAGAAAGAGAGCAGGAGAGAGGCAGAGAGAGACGGGGAGAGAAGATCCCAAGCAGGCTCCACACTGTCAGCACAGAGCCCGACACAGGGCTCGAACTCACAAACTGTGAGACCATGACCTGAGCCGAAATCAAGAGTCAGACACATAACTGACGGAGCCACCCAGGCGCCCCTATGTAGTCCCATTTTTTAATACTATGTCCGTTCAACCCGTCCAAGGACAGACAAACAAACCTGCCAAGGCTGAGAACTCTCCTCCGGAGAGGCATGCCTGCGTGCTCCCTCCCTCGTCCTTCCCTCATGGTCCTTGGCCTCCCGCAGCTGTCCCTGTCTGCACTGACCCCCAGCCTCCACCCCTGCCCCCCACTGTATTTCCCCTCCCTACCCTCCCTGGCCAGGGTCACCTGTCTGAAGCCTAGAATAGTTGTGTCACCACCACCCGAACATTTGCTGGCTCCCTGTTGTCCCCAGGGCCCTGGACCTGGCTCCAAAGGCTGTGATCTGGCCCTTGCACACCGCCCCGCCCCCACCAGCTGCCTCCAGTCACCTCCTCCCAGTTCCCACGTTCCAGCCTCACCATCCCCCAGGAGCCTCCCACAGCCCGCGGCAACAAACACCTCCACTCGGCGCTGCTGGCTCCAGGCCGGGTGACAAGCCCTCTTTTGTGGCCCTGTGGTCTGCGTCTCTCAAAGCTCACGTGGGTCTGTCCCCGTTCCCCCCACCGCACCCCCCCCCCCCAGAGCCACACCTCTGCCCCTGGCTTCCACAAGACAGGTTCCCAGGAAGCTTTCAGTGAGGGATGCCCTCCTGGTCCTGACACCAGTTGTGGGCGGGCTTTTCTTGAGCTGCCCATTTGATTCTTGAAACTCAACCTCGTGTAACAAAACAGGCTCCCCTTCCTATGTGAGAAGGCATAGAGCAGGCTTCCTCCCCAAGGTCCGGCTCTGAGAGGCCATTTAGGGGCCAAGAACTCGGATGGGAAACCGTAGTCTCATCGCCTCGCACCCTCTACCTGACGGCGGTTCCCTCCATTAGGTACGAGGCAAAGCCAAAGCGAAGCCCTGTCTCGCCTTAGCGGTGCTGGTAACCCCGTCACACCTATTTTCACGCTGCAGTGAGGTCGTACGTATCTTGAGATGTCGTGTCTGCCCGTCGCTACTTTGAAATTCTGGTGGTCATTAGACCCAGCGTTACCGCTGGTGATTTAACGTGTTAATAAAGAAGCCTGTGCCTGTGCGTGCACGTGTGTGTACTTCATTGATTCAGTTCAGTCTGTTTGAAAAAAAAATTTTAAACGTTTTATTTGTGTTAGAGAAGGGGAGAGAGAGAGGGAGCACGAGTGGGGGAGGGGCAGAGAGCGAGGGCGGGGAGAGAGAATCCCAAACAGGCTCCACGCTGTGAGTGCAAAGCCCGACTGGAGGCTCGAACTCACCAACCCTGAGATCCTGACCGGAGCGGAGAAGGGCTCTCCATGCCTTTTGGTGATTAGGGCAGCGTTTCCCCGCCACCGTTGTGCCTTGTGAGACTCTGGGAGACTCGTCCCTGCCCCTCCCGTTCCTCGCTCGGTCAAGTTACGTAAAAGCCGAGCTCTTGGAAGCCAATCAAGTCCCACACTAGACAAGTGATTAAAGTCACAATGAACCAATTTAAACGCCCGCACAGTCTCCTGTGCTTTACAAACGAAGCATTCAAAGACTGGGAGTGGCTTCAGGGAACATATTAAATGGTTAGCAAAACTCCAAACAGCTCTGAAAGGAGAACAGGCTGGGAGACTGAGCTCTGAGCCGCAGGCCCAGGTCTCCCTCGCCGCCGACAGCGTCCCCCGGCGGTGACAGCTGTCCCCTGCAATCTGGTGGCAAAGCCCACCCAGGGCGGTGGGGGCGGTGTTCAAATCCTCTGTCCACGCTTGTTGAACCACCGACTGCCGATCCAGAAGAGAGGGCCAACGCAGTTCAGCCGAGGTCAAGAGACTGTGTAAGTTGAAAGTGATGCTCGCTCTTTCTAGAAAGTTCGCAAGACGCCTAAGGAAAAATAAGGACACAAAAACTCCCAACTGCGTGTTCCCACCATCCGCACGCAAATCGTCCGTAATCAAGTGGCCTCCGAGAACACTGTGCCCGGAAAAGAGAGGCCTGAGGTCACGTGGGATGTGACTCGGGCCACTTCAGCCCACACCCCTTGTCACGTGGACACATCGTGGCAAGACCGCCCAACCTTCCCCTGTGAGGGTAGTCTTTTGTGGTTTTGTTTGCTTTTACTGGTTGTGGAGAGTCGTGTCTGCTAAAGATACAATTTTGCCTAATTTGGGGGTGTCATATCGTAAGGATGCTCCCTTATTAAATTCATTTTAGGCATACTTTTCAGTGGCTGCGTGATATCCTGAAACGCGCGTCGTGCTTTCCTTAACCAACCCCCCATTGTTGGGCATTTGGGCTGTTTCTAGCTTTGTCCTGTTTGCCATTTTTAACTAATGCTGTGATCATCAGCATTACACTTTATACCGATGCTGGGCCATTTCACCATGGTGCGAGGCGTTGCGGGAGCTGGAAGATAAGCCACGTACAATCCCTTCCCGTAAGGTGCAGATATAAATAACTTTAATCCAAAGTAGGTGATAGTTGCTGTAAGCAGACAACTGGAACCGGAATGTAGGAAAAGTCTTGCCTGGGCTGCACGGGATTCTAGGAAAGTTACCCGCGAAAATCTGAGCCTCCGCGTCCGCAGCTACGAGGTCAGGAGAAGGGAGCTGTGGGCAGCGTAGCCAAGGGCGGGTTCAGCTGCAGGATCCAGGCCAGCAGGCAGGCGTCGCTTAAGGGGGCAAAGCGGGTGGGGATCGTCTCACATGCAAAGTCGGTGGATCGTCAGTGACGTCTGCCGTGGACCCAAGTTGGTGGCGAAGTAGCGAGCAGGCACCTGGCTGTCACGGGCACCCCCAGCCCTGAGATCGTGATATTCAGGCGTGGTTTCGGGGCTGGCATCAGCCTGGCCCAAAACTGTGTTTCTTCAGTTGAGGCTTCTTCTTTATTTTTTTTTTTTAAACGTTTATTTATTTTTGAGACAGAGAGAGAGAGACAGAGCATGAACGGGGGAGGGTCGGAGAGAGAGGGAGACACAGAATCTGAAACAGGCTCCAGGCTCTGAGCGGTCAGCACAGAGCCCGACACGGGGCTCGAACCCACGAACCGCGAGATCATGACCTGAGCCAAAGTCGGACGCTTAACCGACTGAGCCACCCAGGCGCCCCCGGTTGAGGCTTCTTGATCCATGCACCTCAAGATTCGCTATCCGTAGTGCCCATCTCAGACCGTATATGTGTTTTGGGATCCCCTTGCGGAGGGGCTTCAACCCACAGAGACAGAGGAGAATTGCCCCTGAGTCTCCAGCAGGGGAGCTGAGAGGCCAGCCCAGCGCCCTGCACCTGCTCTCCCACAGGAGAGACCTGTCCTTCCTCCCGGGTCCTTTGGCCCTTTGACGACCACAGTCACCCCCAGCTGTGGGGCCAGGCGGACGTGCCTGCCGGGAGGGGCACCGGTGCTGTGTGGGCCTGTCCCCAGCGCTGGCTCCCCCCCACCCCCATCCGGCGTCACCCTGCTTTCTCGTCTGCTGGCCTGATCTCACGTGTTCCTGCCTTCAGCCTCTGCAGGTGCCATGACTCAACCGCCCCAGGAGGGCTTCGACAGGAGCGTGGAGGAGGCCCGGCAGTGGATGAAGGCTGTGCAGGAGCGGCTGCAGGTCAACGACAACACCCAGGGGCCCCGGGCGGCCCTGGAGGCCAGGCTGCGGGAGACCGAGGTACAGAGACCGCGGCTTCCGTAGCCCTGGGGCCTCGGCCGTGTCCCTCCCTCGGGCCTCGTGTCTCCTGACTCTTAAATGGCAGGGGCGGACCAGGCTAGTGTCTCTCTCAAACTCTGATGTGTTTGAATCTCCTGGGGATTTGGGTTTGAGGGCCGATTCTGACCCAGGGGGTCAGGGTGGACCCCAACTCTGGCATGTCTAACACGCTCCCTGGTCCTGGGACCACACTTTTTTTTTTTTTTTTTCAACGTTTATTTATTTTTGGGAGAGAGACAGAGCATGAACGGGGGAGGGGCAGAGAGAGAGGGAGACACAGAATCGGAAACAGGCTCCAGGCTCCGAGCCATCAGCCCAGAGCGTGACGTGGGGCTCGAACCCACGGACCGCGAGATCGTGACCTGGCTGAAGTCGGACGCTCAACCGACTGCGCCACCCAGGCGCCCCATGGGACCACACTTTCATAGGGAGGGGCTAGAGGGGCTTTCTGGTTGTCCCGTCCTGGCAGAGGCACCTTGCGGCCGGGTGGGTGATGGGGTTGGGGGGTCCCCAGCCCAGTCCTTCCTGCTGCTTCCCGGCTTCCCTGGGCCGGGTCTGGGTGGGCCCAGATTGGCCTTCAGGAGGGTGGAGAAGGGTTCTGCCCCGTGAGAAGTGACCCGTCAGCTTCTCCAGGGCCAGGGTCTGGCCTTGCTCCCCACCTGGCACGAGGCAGGGCTCAGGGCGTGTGGTGCTATGCCTACCGGAAGTGCTGGTGTCCCGTGCCTGGCCCGGCATTATGGTGCCTCCATCCGAGGGCATCTGCTTCAGGCCAGGGGGCCAGGGGGCAGGACCTGGGTTATAGGCTCCATGCTGCTGTGAAAGTGCTGTGTGACCTCGGCCAAGTCCCTATCCCTCTCTGGGCCTCCGTTGCCCACGTGTAGGCAAAGCCATGACTTACGCATCTCTGGGGTCACACCCATTGGGATAGACAGCGAACAATGGTCGCTTTCAAGGCGGTGGGGGGGACCACCTTCTCATACACAAAGTGATCTCCTGACCAGGCTAGAAGGGGTGCTGGCCCCACACCCAGTGTCCTGCGTGTTTTCTTGGGTGTGCTGTCTCACTGATTTTGTGCATCTTATTGAAAACACCTAATCCTCTTTTCGGAAACAGTCAACATGAAGAAAATTTGTATCATCTTTTCAGGGCCGATGGTTTAAGGCTCACAACCACGTTACGAAGGGAGAGCCATGGTCTGCATTTTATGCATGGGGAAACTGAGTCTCAGAGAGGTGACTTGTCTACGCTGAAAAGGTCTCCGGGTGGGACATTCCAGCCTGGAATTTGAGTCCTCTGATTCCTTGTCAGATGGGCTTTCTGCTTCCCTGCCAGGACACGTGCCTCTCAGATGATCGGAGACGGGCGCTCACAGTAAAACCGTGCCCGGCAGGGCAGAGAGTGGGGGACCACTTTTAAGTCATACGGCCAGAGGCTTCCCAATTGGACAGTGGAGTGAGCAGAGAACCCGGGACTCTCTGAGGCAGCCTGGGGCATCAGGCCTCTGGGGACAAGTGACTTTATTGCTGAAGCTGAAAGACAGACGAGGTAGCCAGGCTGGGGGCCGCAGGGGTGAGGGTGGAGAGGAGGGGGCTCTAGGCGGAGGGAGCAGCAGAGGAGAGAGACCCAGCAGGTGGGCATGGCTCGAGGCACGTGCTCAGAGCCCCAGCAAGGCTGGGTTGGGGTAGCACCAGCCATCAGGCGGGAGCCGGGGACAGGGCCAGAGGGGAGGTCAGGGGTCAGAGGGTGACGGCCTGGAACACTGAGCCGGGGAGCTTGGATGTCGTTGCTGCGACAGGGGAATGGTAGGTTGGAAACTTGGAAGGAAGGTCGGGGATCCAAGGAGAGGAGTTGGCCGCCCGGAGCCCCTTCTCTTGTCGGACTTGGCCTCGGTCATCATCCGCATTGTTATTGTCACCAGGAGGCATTTATCAAATGATTGGTCCTCAGAGGTCAGACGGAGGGGACCCGACGTTCTTTCGGCACCTGTTTGTCACGTGCCCAGGGCCGCACCGTCAGCTTTCGTGTTGAATTTCACAAAAGCCGTGTGAATGTGGTTTTATGGTCCCTAGTTTTCAATAATAGAATGTGACTCCTAGACGCGGTGATGGGCCCAAACTCTAGGAACCGATCTTGTCAGGACCTGAGCCCAGAGCATCACTGGCCATCCCCGTGGGGGGTCCTGGGGCAGTGGAGACGGCGAGGTTCACTTTACTCTGGGGCTCACACCATAAAGGGGAATGGGGGATTATACACATAATCCAGGCCGCACAGGATCGTGTGATGTTCTTGATGTTTCTTCTCCTCCTCTAGAACCTTCCGTGGCTCCCCATTGCCCACAAAACTAAAACCAAGCTTCACCTGGCACCAAAGTCTGCCACTGTCTACACCACCCCACCTTCCAGCCTCAGCTGTCCCGGCCATCCCATCTACCAAGCACAGATCCTGTCCTGGTGGGAGACAGCCTAGATTTCCTGTCTGTAGGCCTCTGTCCTGTGCTGTTGCCTCTCCTTGGGATGCCCTCCCGTTTGCTTGTGTGTCTGTGCTTGTGAAATGCAACCCTCCCTCTGCCCCCAAGCTCTGGCCCCAGCTCCTGATAGTCTGTGTCCCGGAACACCACGGCCCTGCGTGTGTGCTTGCTGTTTCAAGGCCAAGGGTTGCTAATCCCTTTGAACCTTGCACCCTTCTACCGGCAGGCCATTCCCCTCCGGTGGTGGGTCGGGCTGCGGCCAAGGCAAGAGCGGTCCTTGGGAACAGCCCTCGGCCAGGCCAGGGTGGAAACCGGAGGGGAGCACGCCCACCGGCCGAGCCCCCAGGGACTTGACTCAGAGCCTAGGCGGAGGGGGTCACGTCCAGGGGCTCCGCCTCTGGCTCTCCCATGGGGCTCAGGCATGCTATTTTCTGGGCCTTGACATTTCAAAACCAATTTTGCAATAAGAAAGAAAACATTTCGCTCCTGCCATCTGGTGAAGGGAGCGTCTGGTGACTTTTCCACCTCCGCAGTCCGCGGGGCCTCACTCTGGGGTCAGGGTCTTGTGCCCACACCCCCCCCCCCAGCTCAGTGATGTGCGTCCAGGGTGACCCTTCTCCAGAGTGGCCGGGATGTGAGTTCCCATCCAGCTCTGACGCCGCATAACTGCGTGGCCAGAAGCGAGTCCCGTGCCCTCCTGCGACCTCACTTCCTAGAGTGTGAGCAGAGCCCTCTCCCCCTTGCGTACAGAGGGGCTCTTGGCGGCTCCGGGACCCTCGTGGTGGTGAAAGACTTCTGTGAAGGGAGACCGGGAAGAGGGTTGCTCCCGGGGTTCGAGTCCCCGCCGTGGCTGTGGCGCTCCTTGGGAGCGTTTCTGGAGCACCTTGGGTTTCAGCTCATTGGGGGTGGGGTGGGGTGGGGGTGGGGGCGATGGTTGCCGCCTTGCAGGAGGGACGGAACATGGGGGCGAATGACTTACTGGTGCGCTTGGCAGAGCGCGGGCGCCCTGGCAGAGCCGGCCCGATGGATGGGGTTTTTTCTGGCAGAGCCGGCCCGATGGATGGGGTTTTTTCTGGCAGAGCCGGCCCGATGGATGGGGTTATTTCTTGTGGTTTCGATGCAGGGACACGCGCACGCCGACCCTCCCTGCCCGCGCCCGGGCCTCCCGGAGCTGGCCCCCAGGTCCCAGCATCTTGCCCTCTGGTTTCCAGACTTGCGGCCCTGCACTCGGGGCCCAGCCTCAGCCAGGCTGCTTCCTGACCGCCCTCCAGGCCCCTCTGTGGCCAGAGACGGGCTGCCTTTCCTAGGACCTGGCCTCCGGACACAGCCGTCGCTCAAGCCCCATCTCGAAGGCTTGCGCGTCACTAAGGCTCGGTGCCGACGCCACCTACTGCCCACCAAGCCTTGGATTTCCCCACGTCCCTCACTGGAGCTCCAGTAGCTACTCTGTGGTGTCGGTGGCTGTTAGTCATTTGTGCTCTTCTCTGCAGACCCCAGCACGGCCTGCAAGCGCTAGGTTCCTCCTGGACCCCAGTGCCCGACACAGTACCCAGCATAGTACCCAGAATAGTATCTAGCATAGTACCCAGCTCAGCTCAGTACCCCATCCAGTACCAAGCATAGTACCCAGCACAGTGCCCAACCCGGTACCCAGCACAGTACTGCACATAGTACCCAGTGCAGTGCTCAGCTCAGTACCCCACCCAGTACCAAGCACAGTACCCAGCACAGTGCCCAACTCGGTACCCAGCACAGCACTGCACACAGTACCCAGTGCAGTGCTCAGCTCAGTACCCCACACACTACCAAGCATAGTACCCAGCAGTGCCCAACTTAGTACCCAGCACAGTACTGCACATAGTACCCAGTGCAGTGCTCAGCTCAGTACCCCACCCAGTACCAAGCATAGTACCCATCACAGTGCCCAACTAGGTACCCAGCACAGTACTGCACATAGTACCCAGCATAGTACCCAGAATAGTATCTAGCATAGTACCCAGCTCAGCTCAGTACCCCATCCAGTACTAAGCATAGTACCCACCACAGTGCCCAACCTGGTACCCAGCACAGTACTGCACATAGTACCCAGTGCAGTGCTCAGCTCAGTACCCCACACACTACCAAGCATAGTACCCAGCAGTGCCCAACTAGGTACCCAGCACAGTACCCAGCATAGTACCCAGAATAGTATCTAGCATAGTACCCAGCTCAGCTCAGTACCCCACCCACTACCAAGCATAGTACCCAGCAGTGCCCAACTCAGTACCCAGCACAGCACTGCAATAGTACCCAGCATAGTGCTCAACTCAGTACCCAGCACAGTACTGCACACAGTACCCAGTGCAGTGCTCAGCTCAGTACCCCACCCAGTACCAAGCACAGTACCCAGCGCAGTGCCTACCTGGTCTTGGCTGCACTGATGGAAAGCCCTGACTAACCCCCTCCGTCCGGCTTTCCTGATCCATCTTTTCTTCTCTCCCCAAAGTTTTCCCTCCATCCACCCCCCACCTGACTGTTGCCCTCATTGGCGCCTTCCAATCAGAATAGTTTTGTACCCCGTCCCAGCTGGCTCGTCCCTCCTGCCAAGCACTCCTGGATCCTGCTGGTGATCAGCTCTAAAGGAACCTCACGCCAGCCGGAGAGCGTAGTCATGACTGCGGCGAAGAAAGGTGGAAACTACTTCTGGAAAGCTGGATTTGCCAGCGTAGCCACGGCCTCTGGCCTCCTGGCGCCCCGGCCTCCAGCAAACATCCCATTGGTTGATAATTCGGTTTGGGGGCAGATGTTTCTGCTTTGGGCCAGGTAGGGCTTGGTGTTCTGCCTGTCTTTGGGGCTGGCCGGCTTTTCTGTCTCTGGCAGGAAAGCAGCGGACTCACTCCCCTGCGAAGGGCAGGGAGTTGGGTGTCTGCCGTGTCTCCCCAGTCCGGCCTGCCCGTCTCCGAGCAGGAGTCAGGAGAGCAAGAGTCCAGAGGCCTAGAGGAGGTCACACAATCAGGAAACGAGGCTTTGGGAAAGGGGCCGTTGTCCTCATGGGGACTTTCCAGGCCCAGCTGGCTCCCTCTGGGTGTGGCGGAGAGAACGAATTTAGCTTCTTCCCCAAAGCCGTTGGCTCCCTAGGTTCTGGATTCTGGCTGAGCCTCCTCTGGACAGCAGGCGGAAAGGAGGCCTCTCTGGCTGCTGCAGAGAACGGCCCTGCAAAGCTCAAGGTCTCTGTGGGTTCCCAGCGCCCTTGTCCCTCAACTGCGGTTTCTGTGGCGTGCGTCTTCCTAGCTTGGAGGGTGGGTCTGCAGTCTGTTCCTCAGCGCTGGGTGTCAGAAATATCAGGTCCTTAAACTGAATGTCGCGGGATGGCAAGAAATTCCTCCCCGGCCGCCCTGTGGGGCTCCCGCTCCTGAGTGGTGTGAAATGTTCCATGTGGCAGGTGGGTAATCTCGCTCAGCCCAGAACACCCCGCAGTGGCCCTCGGCCCTTTGGTCCACACTAATTGCCATAGTACCTTTGTCTTCTGCATCGCTGCCTGCTGCTGAGCAGCACGTGGGGTCTCGGTCGGATCGTCGTCGCAGCCGTGACCCTGCGGGGTCCTGCTACATCCCTCCGCTCGGCCGGGCTCAAACAACAAACAAAACGGCTTTCCCCTTCTTGGGGTATCTCCCGCTCTCCGCTCTCATCTGCCCCCCACCCCCAAACACACACTCATAGACCGCAGAGAGCCTGTGTGGAAGGAGCTTGTTTAATGTCACTCTGATAACACAGGTAGGAGGGGACGTCCCTCTCTACCATCATCGTCGCCATCGCTAACCAGTCTCACGTGAAGCAACAGAAAGGATTGACACCCTTGCTCACTCGCACATCTCGGAAAAGGATCCACACCTTTTACACCCCACCGTTGACGGAGTATACGGACACATCGATGTTTTAACTAGCTGTATTTTCAAAACTTAATGTTAGAACCCTATGGGGTAGACAAAGCAGGCATTGTTATCACAATCTCAGGGTTAGAGAGGGAGGCCCAGAGTGACCAAGCAACCTGCCTGGGGTCACACAGCTATCATTGAAGCAGCATTTCGCTCCCCCCTCCCCCACCCCTGCGCCATCCACAGAGAGGGGTCAGAGACGGCCGGCCCACTGGGACTTCATTCAGGGAAGGCTGGCTGCCAGCCTCCCAGGGAGACAGGCTGGGGAATAGAGCTTGAACTTCAGGCAAATGTGCTGTCAGTAAAGAGGGCTCAGCGGTATGCAAAGACGGTACTGAGAGCGAACACTATTAGTGTTGGGCCAGGCGGTGTGCCCAGGGCTCTCTCGGCTTCGCGGAACGTTCCTGGAACCCTGGGTGGTGTAACTGCCCTCTTCTCCCATTTCATAGGCCTCGCGCATCAAAGTACTGTGACAAAGGTCAGGGAATGGCTCTGGAATTGGAATCCAGTTGTACTTTTCCTACAGAGACCACGCTTGAGTTGCCAAAGAACTAAATAACGGCAGGTAATGACACAAGAGCCGATGTTAATCAGAAATATGCTACTTGCTAGACGTTGTAAATTCGTGTTGGTCCTCCCAGAGCCCGAAGCCAAGATGAGACTAAACGCACGAGATGTCTGATAGGGAAACTCCCACGAGAGAACAGGTTGGGAGCCCAGGAAGGCTGGGAGGGGTGAGGTCAGCCCGACGCAGGTCTGACCCCCAATCCAGGAGATCAGGGAGTGTCTGGGACCGCGGTGTGGCTCTGTGCGAGTCTGGCAAGGCCGTGGGGCCTCCTGGACCAGTCACCCATCAGAGGAGCCCGATGCCACAGGGGAACAGGCCTGCCTTGGTCACTGGTGGGAGCAGCTGAGGGAGCAAGGCCTCGGTGCGAACTGCAAATCCAGAGAGCGTTCCGGAGCCTCGGCTGGGGCCCTGGGTCGAGCCCACTCCCTGCAGGAGACCTGAGAGGCAGATTCTCACAGCCCCACACACCGCGACGTGCACCTTGCGTTTTCTCATTTATTTTAAAAAAAAGTTTACATTTATTTACTTATTATTGAGAGAGGAAGAGAGAGCACAAGCAGGGGAGGGGCAGAGAGAGAGAGAGAGAGAGAGAGAGAGAGAGGGAGAGACAGAATCTGAAGCAGGCTCCAGGCTCTGAGCTGTCAGCACAGAGCCCGACACGGGGCTTGAACTCACAAACCCAGCGAGATCACGACCTGAGCCGAAGTCGGCCGCTTCACCGACTGAGCCACCCAGGCGCCCCTACGTTGCATTTTCTCACTTAATACCGAAAAAAAAATCTGGGAGCTCGGTACTATGAATAACCCCATTTTACAAACGAGAAAACCGAGGCCAGGGAGATGGCGAGACGTGTGTGAGGTCACACAGCCGGAAGCGGCCCAGTGGGAAAGGGAAGGGACTTTCGCCAGCAGACGGCTCCACGGTTCTGTGCTCCCCTCGTCAGTGCCTTGCTTCCGACCTCAGGGCCTTTAGCTGGCCACCCACGGTCACAGGCAAAAGTTGCAAGGGCCACCGTTCGAACCCCAGCCCCTCTGGCCTCAAAGTCCCGGCTCTTTCCATCATGCCACCGTTAACGCCAAGGCTCTGCCTGCTCGTGGCTTTGTCTAACCCCTGGAAACCGGCCTTTGTGTCCACGACAGAAAATATGCCAGCTGGAGCCGGAGGGGCGCGTGAAGGTGGACGTCGTGCTGCGGGCGGCGGAGGGCCTCCTGGCGTGTTGCCGTGACGGCCAGAAGCCTGAGATCCTGGCCCAGCTGAAGGACGTCAAAGCCCAGTGGGAGGAGACGGTCACCTACATGACCCACTGTCACAGGTAAGGCGGCTCCCCGCCGGGCCTTCGCAGCCTCTGTTGACCCTCCTCGTCCAGCACCGCGCTGTCCTGGGGCCTCTACCCCGGGGACATTTCTCCGGTCCTGGAATTGCTGGGAACAGGATGCTCTCTTGGGAGGTGCGCCAGCCCTGCCTGCCTCTTTCTAATTATAATCGAGCCTAATGATGATAATGGCAGTGGGAGTCCATCAGGTTTTGCCAACACTAAATTCTTAGTAGACTCGCCATGTGTTCGACCCTCAGCAGAATGGCGGAGTGGCCCTGTTGCCTGGCTGGCGACGCAGCCTAGACCCTGTGCTGCCCCTGAGAGCCAGGGAGGGATGGGGGGTTAGGCAGACCTGACATTGGTGCCTGCTTGCTGTGTGGCCTTGGGAAAGTTACTTGAGCTCTCTGAGCCCCAGGCTCCTCATCTGGACAACGGGTATAATCAAGCGTTCGATGAAGGCTGTCAGGAAGACAGAAGAGGAGAAGCAAATGTCAAGAGCGAGGCACAGTAGGGCCCTCAGGGACCAGGAGCTGCCAGGGCCCCCTCCATCGCTCTGAAGCCAGAAGGTTGAGTGGCTGGGGTGACTTGGCGCTGTGCTTTCCGCTTTTCAAACCCTCTCACTTGGAATTGCAAAGTCGTTTGATGTGGGCTGGAGAGATGGGGCCGTCTTCGTGTTACGGACGGGGAAACCGAGGCAGGCGAGGAGGCAGGGTTATGCAGCAGGCTCATGGCGCCTCTGGAACCCACACGTAGGCCCCCCAGCCTTCTGCCCCACCGAACAGCCACAAGCCCCCCAGACACTATTGCACTGTGTCGATTATTAGACACACTCCCACCACACTGAGGTAGGGCCCCGAACCTGGAGGGTCGTCAAGCTGCCCAGGTGACCCTGAGGCCCAGAGAGAGTGTCATTTCATTGCGCTCCTGCCCACAGCCCCCCCCCCCCCCCCCCCCCCCCCCCCCCCCCCCACCCCCACGAGTACTGGGGAGGGGGCGGCTGCCCGGCCCTGGGGCCAGGTGGGCGGGTCGTTCACGGCCCCCTGCTCTCCGTCCACAGCCGCATCGAGTGGGTGTGGCTGCACTGGAGCGAGTACCTGCTGGCTCGAGATGAGTTCTACCGTTGGTTCCAGAAGATGATGGTGGTCCTGGAGCTGCCCGTGGAGCTGCAGCTGGGCCTGAAGGAGAAGCAGTGGCAGCTGAGCCACGCCCAGGTCCTGCTGCACAACGTGGGCAACCAGGCCGTGCTCCTCGACCGGCTGCTGGAGGAGGCGGCCTCCCTGTTCAACAGGATCGGGGACCCCAGTGTGGACGAAGATGCCCAGAAGAGGATGAAGGCCGAGTACGCCGCGGTGAAGGCCAAAGCCCAGGTGCGTGAGGCGTGGGGGGCTCTGTCTTCACCTGTGCGTCCATTATCTGCCTCTGTCTCCCCGTGCAGCCAGTATCCACCACTGTCTACCCATGTAGCCATATTCCCCTCTGTCTCCCT